CTCTAGAAAACCCTGACTAACATAGAGAATTGTATTATTTTGTTTTGGTCATCCAACTGTCTCATGGTCAAGTCAGGAATGGAATCAGGCTATCTCATTCTATAGTTTTGTTTTGCATCATAATTTGAGCACTACAGCAGTTTACCTTTAGAAAACAATTGCTTACACACCTTTAAGAATAACTATAAGAGGTCCAACAGACAAAATGGCTCAGTGGCTTACACCACTTGCTACCAAGTCTGATGGCCTGAGTTTGAATCCCATGTAATCATGTAATGGAATTGACTCCCAAAAGGAGTGCTCTGACACCTAAACATAAGTACACAAAATTAAAAAAAAATTGATAAATAAATAAATAAGTAAAGCTTAATTTTTTTAAAGAATACTTCTAATGGGGTAGCAAGATGGGTCAGCGGGATAAGAAACTTGACATGCAATCCTAGTGACCTAAGAGCAATCCCTTGAACCCACGTAAAGGCAAAAGAAGAAAAGCAGCTCTACAAAGTTGTCCTCTGAACCCCACATACATGCCATGATACACATGTTCACACACAGACATATCTGCAGACACACACACACAGAGACCAAGCCAAGACAAAAAGAGTAATAACAAAATAAAAAATTTTAAAAAATTTAAAAAATGCAAATAAATAATAACTGATATTAGGTTTAACATCAACACTTGAGTGTTGGGAAATATGTTTCAGAGAAAAAAATTCATTTTAGAAAGAGTGAGTTGATTTAAACACTTTGGCAAACTCTTTGTATTTACTCCAGCTGAATATAAGCTGTCTATAATCCAACAATCCCACTCCCTGTTACCTCTCTGAAAAGAAGTGTATAAGTATATGAACCAAAAAGACACAATATGAATGGGCTATGGACACACCCTTACACTCAGGAGGCTGAAGCAGGAGGACTGTGAGCTCGAAGCCAGCCTGGCTGGGCTACCTGATGACTGTAGCCAGTCAGGGATATAGAGAAAAATCTTGTTTTCAAAGAAAATGGCTAAGGATGGAGGTAGAACTTCATAGCAGCACCACTTATTAGAGTTGCAAGTAGAATAAACCAATTTTTTTCATCATTAATGAAATTTTTAGAATAAAATTTTACCAAGGAATACAAGGAACAAACAACATGAATGAATTTTAGAGATATGGTTAAACACAAGAAGCCACCTCCAAAAGACTATATGTGATAGTTGCAAAGTTCAAATAACTACCAAATTAGTCTATGGTAAATGACATTGGGGTGGTGGTTGCCTGGGTAACAAGGAATGATAATTGGGGTGCTGAATAATGTAGGCATTGGGAACACTGACGATTCCTGAGCTTGGAAAATACAAAACCAAAACTTCATAAAGCCATAGACGAGCAGGTCTCAAACGCCTCTCTGTGATATGTTAAAATTTAATTAAAAAGTTAACAATAAAGTTCTAAAACTAATTTTGTCTGTGTCTTTTCACCCTTTTTATGTCTTTACTAGAAGACTTGCAGTTCCATATTGACTCACATTAGACCTGTGAGTGTAATGAACTGACCATTTCTGCCCACAGCAGCCATTTCTATCAAGAGCCTGATTTCAGTGCTCTCCTTCTCTGGGGTGTGGGACTCTGCTTTCAGAGCTTTCCTGATAACTCACTGACTGCTCCTTCTCAGACAGCTCTTCTGATACTTCCATCTATTATTCTCAAACTTCATTAGGCTTCAAAACCGCCCAAGGTTGCTGGCAGAATGCCATATCCCTGGGCCTTATATTTAGAGATTCTGATTTAGAAAAACAGAGTGAGGACCCAGGATTCCAGACTCATTTTCAGCCCATGCATAAAATGTTTCTCGTTTTACCTCATGTATTCATTGGCTAGCTCATTTTTTTTTCCTTTATCTACTTCATCCCATGGATGTAGCAGTTATTATAGGCTGATGTTTCCCCAACACCTCATCTTCCAGCTGAGTCCTCTCATCCCAACTCTTTCTTTGACCTGTGCATCTGCACTTGCTGTCATAAATGTAGCTCCTGCAACATCATTCTTCCTGGCTCATTCTTCCCTCTGATCTCCAGCTATGCAAGCCTACCATCCTACCATCCTTCCTACCATCTCTACCTAATCAGCCAAAAAAAAATCCAAGTGCTTCTCCATCATCTTTTACCCTCACTGTGCCTTCCTCATTCCTTTAGTTTAGGGTTTCTCAGATTTGGAAGGCTTAAAATATTGTGTCAGCGAGTGCTTGCAGGGACCAACCTGTATACTTTTAGAGGCTCAGCCGTTTCCCATCCTTACTTTTCTAAGGACCAATTAGCACCCCCTCGTGGATAGAACCTAAAATACCTCATGATGTTGAGGTTGAGGAACTAGGAGGAACGGAACCTTGCCTACCCTTACCCTTTTAACCCCACAGACACAGCCTTATTTGAGGCATTCCCATCAGCATAAGAGTTTCCAGGTCACAGATCCTCCCTTTACTCCACACTCTTTTTAAAAAGTTTTACAGTTTTCATCAGGATAAAACACAGTATCTAATGCAGCATGAAAAGAACACCATTTGTCTTCTACTCGCCTCCTCCAGCTTTCCACTCCAATGATACCGAGTGTCTTTGCAGTTTAATTAAGGATGGATGAAATTCATAAGAAGTGGTAACTTCAGCCAGTAAGTATGTGAGTAGCTTAGGAGATAAATGCAAAGCTCGTAGGATGTTTTAAATTTAGGATATGAGTAAGCGTGCACTTTGTGAAACATAGGCAGAATTGTGTTAAATATATGTAGTAAGTTAGTAAACTATAAGACATGCCAAAGTTAAAATAAATAGAAAATATGATAGAACAGAGGGTCACTTGCAGTCAAAAACAGAATAGAAAACTGTTATGAAAAATCTTGGTAAGTCTAAACTGACAATTTTGTCAGCCTTAATTCAGTCACATTTTTGGAGATACCTAAAATAATCTCCTATGCTCTCTACCCAGCGCCAAATGGATTGCCCCTCTTCAAGTTGTTGGCCAGTCCAGGTCTTATAGACTTCCAAAACAACACAGCCATTTGGAATTAAGGGTGCAGTAAAACCACAGAACTGGACCATTCTATAGATTAAAAAGAAGGGCTTATTGGTGATCACACCGCAAGGCTACTGGGGAAGGGGGAGCAACCAGAGTAGGGAATCTTTGAGCTGATGTAGGCTGTTCAGATTCGCTGGGAACTAGATACCCTTGCCCAAGGTAGTTGACGTTTGGGGCAGGGTAAGGGTGGCTCCTGAAGGATTAAGGGAGGTTCCTTGTTAAACAAAAACCTGCCTTTAGGCTTCTATGTACCTGGCCAGAGTCCTCCTGTTGAGGTAATTGTCACCAGCTCTACCATACTGAGAACCACTTTGGACCTAACAGGGAGGATCCCATGAAGTCCCACTCTTAGTTAAGGAGCTTTTGGTACTTGATGGCTACTGGGGAAGAAAGAGTCCATTTTCTTCTGGAATACAACTCCTAATAGTCTTCCATGAATGGTCCCACATGGCAAATACTGACAGCACTGATTGGACTGATTGGGAGAGAGAAATGGTGAGAGGATTAGGGAGAAGTTGGAGGGAAGGGCGTGGAATCTATGTCTGGGGGCAGATATGTCCATGCTCCCTAAATCCAATGGGGCTGGTCAGACTGACAAGGAGACCTCTACTGGGAAGGCAGATTCAGCTTAAGATAATGTGTTTTTCCTTCCCAGATTTCCAAACCCTTTGTGCAGCCCCTAAGAGCGGAGCCTTGGTTATGTTTGGCTGATCTGGTTTGTTCTGACCAACTTGCTGATGCCTGACTCTAAATTGCACAACTTTACTTTTCTTCCATCTGTGTTCAAATGCTGGCCAGAGATCCGTGGTTTAGCTTTGGATTCCCTTACTCTTTTTCCAAAGCTCTATCTAGTCTTCCTCCCCAAGGCTGCCTGCCATGTTTATCTTCTCCATATTCTTGCTTGGGGCAACTTCGAGATTAACAATGTGCCTGCCCTGGGTTTTTCCTTTTAAACTCTAATAAGTTATCCTTGAGTTTCTGTTTGAGTCTATTCTTTATTCGTTTATTAATAAAACTAAGATTCCCAGGAAGGGACCCAATTTCCCAGGTAGCATATGTTGACTGCAGGCACACCCTAAAACTTCTGGTACCGCTCTCCTCCCTTTTAATTCTTTAACTGGCAAAGGGAACAAACCCATTCCTGAACGCCTAGAAGGCACCGATGCATGTGTCAGAATCTTAAATTACTCATTCACAGGCGCATGGACGCCCTATAGAGTTCTAGGCTCCAGCCTCAGCTACCTGGCTCAAAAAAACAAAAACAGAACAAACAAAAACCCACCACACCTCAAAACACAACGATAAAATTTTACTCTCTTCCTTCTAACATTGTAATGGTTAAATTCCTGGGGGGCCTACCTTTTACTCAAAGAACTAGCTATGTTTATAATGCATAAGAAAAGCGAAGGGTTTTAGGTGAAGCAACAGAATAAAATAAAATAATAAAATAAGAGACTTTAAATAATGGGTCCATCCCTAAGCTGCTTTTAAGTCACTCCCCTCCAGGATGAGGTGTATCTGTCTAGGTGCAGGAGTCTGGTATCCTGCTCAACAGATTTGCAAACCAAGCAAGGGAAACGTGTTCGCTAAGAGCCTCCCAATTCCCCAACCTCACAGGAGGCCCCGAACGCTCCAGGGCGAGCATCTGCAGATCTGCAAACCAAGCAAGGGAAAGTTGTGGTCGCTGAGGGCCTCCAAAAGCCTCCCAATTCCCCAACCCCACGAGAGGGCCGGATCGTCCAGGGTGAACACCTGAGGCAACTCTTGCTTTGGATTGAATCATCCCCTCTCGCCTTGCACGCAGCCCTTCCGCCTCCGGGGGCGCCCGCGCCGGCGTCCGCTCTAGGCGGCTTCCGGCTGGTCTTTATGGTACCCGCGGTTCCTCTAGCCTTCTCGCCGTCCTCTCGGTGTCGGCGCGGGGTAGGCGGTAGTGTGGGAAGCCAAGCCGGGACTGGGGAGGTACCGCGCTTCCGGAGCGCCGCGGAGACCCGGGTGGCAGCTCAGGCGGACCGGGCCGCGCGGCTGTGAGTGGACCCCGCGGAGAGCGCTTGAATGTGGGAGGCCGCCGAGGACCGGAGGAGGCTTGGGAGGGAAGGACCGCACGGCGGCGGGGTCTAGGGGTTCGCAGCAGCTGTGCCCAGAGCACGGTGGGGCCGCCACCGCTTCTGGGGCACAGCCTGCAGGGTTTATTTTTAAGTTTGCAGTAGAAGGATTTGAACCCAGGACCACGCGCAAGCTTGAAGGCTCCACTGCTGAGCTGGATCCCCAGCTTCTTCAAATTGGGGGTCCCTAAGCGATCTTCCAGTCCAGCACCCCCTTGAGTAGCTCATATTACGGACATGAGTAACCAGGCTTGACTCTTTTAAGTTTTTTCGGTTTGGGTTGGGTGGGTTGGTTACTTGGTTGGTTTTCCAAGGAAGTTCCTCTGTGTAGTCTGGACTGTTCTGTAATTGTTTGTGTAGCCGAGGCTGGACTCGAACTCACAGAGACCTGCCTGCCTCTGCCTCCCAAGTGCTGGGATTAAAGGCATGCGCCAATTCGCCCGACTTTGAAAACAATTTTTAAATTACTTAATTTTTATATGTATGATTATTTTGCCTGAATGTATGTCTGTGCACCAGTGCCGGCCTGATACCCAGAGAGACCAGAACAGGGCGTCTGATACCCTTGGACCTGGAGTTACAGGAGGTTATGGATGCAGGTGTAGATGCTGGGAGATTGAACGCAGGTTTTCTGGAAGATCATCAGCTGAATCACCTCTTAATCAATCCCCTCTGTGAAATTCACATTGTCTCAGCCATGTCATTCGGTTAATCACTTTGGTGGGTTGGAGTGTGTGTGTTTGAATTTTTCGACCCCCAGTACCATGTATGTAGTAGGCCTTTGTACCTGATGATTTGAGTCATACTGGTGTGGCTGTGAGTAGGAGCCTTAATGCCTGCATCCCATAAAGTACTGGGGTGGGAATCGTTTGCAGAGAAGTGGGATCTGGTCACGTTGATTTCCAGGAGAGTGTGCCCTCTTGATTTGGGATTCTGAACGGATGCTCATTCAAAAACAGTTCATCAGAGTAAAGTGCCGGGATTTGCTAACTAGAGAAGCCATGACTTCAGAAATCGGGTAGTTTCTTGCCTTTGGAGCTTCATATATAATAGAGATTAGCAAGTAGCAAAGTGTGTGATGTTTCTGTAAAGTAGAAAGATGTGAAGTTGTTCTTTTACATGGATCGGTGGAGACACATGCTGTGCAGTGCCTGCCTTCACCCTGTGAGGTGAAGGAAGTGTTAGTGATGTTAGGAAGAACTGATGGGTAGTGGAATGTACAGATGGCTGGATCAGATGGTAGCTGGAGAATCCCATAATCCCAGAGGCAGTGTGCTCTGAGGAAGTTTTGCTGAAGTGGCCAAACTTGATGGATCTAGAGACAGTGGGACTTAAACTTGGGTTAAGAATATTTTGTTCCAGTTGATCAGTGGGCATGAGCAGATCAGTAAATTATTCATAAATGGGTAAACAAACTAAATACTCGAAACTGAAGTCTCCAGGAATTCAGTTAATGGCTGGAAAGGAAAAACAAAACAAAACAAAACAAAAAACTTGGAACAAGTTCTTTAGTTAAATAATTGTCAGAGGTATTTTTCCTGTTGGAAAACAAAATCAATACATACAGTTACACATATATCCAAGAAGAGCTACAGACCCACTGATCCATTCAGGAATTAATGTATAATGCATTACACATTAATTATCTCAGAATTTGTCAATGAGCTTAGTATTTGTCAATAAGAATGTCTAGGTATGATTTTTGAAAGGATATGAACACTTGGCATTTTTTTAGAACTGTTGGAAATGTTCCTTAAGTTTAGGGAATGTTAGTTCAAATCCATGAGCTCCAAGTTAGCAAAAAGTTTTAGGGGAACGGAGTTTGTTACAGCCTTGTATTGAAAACTGTATTTTTCTTGCATTGGGAATTCTTTATATTTATACCGATCAGAAAGAATGTCTGGAACATACTGGTCGGTCTTGTACGTTTTTATTTTTTGAGACAATATCTCATAATGCAGTCCTGGAACTCATTGTGTAGACCAGGCTGGCCTGGAATTCAGAGATCTGACTTCGTCTGCTTCCAGTGGACTGGGATTGAAGGTGTGGGCCTTCAATCTTTTTTTATCCACAAAATGGAAAAGCTAGTAAATTATTAGTGCCACACAAGTATATATAATAAGTGTTTGCATTTATCAGCCAGGTAGCTGGTTAGAAATCAATTTAAATGAAAAGGTGTTTTCACCGGTAAGTTCATGGTGAAATAAAGGTATAAATGGAGGCCAAACTGGCAGAGTCTACAGTGAGTTAGGGAAGTCCACTGAATACCATGGCCTGTTTACTGCATATTTCATCAGAGACTGTGGTTCTGGTGTCTGCTAGGTCTGAACCCCGGCAGTAAATGGCGTCTTTCTATGCTGTCTTGGTGGTGCACACCTTTAATCCCAGCCCTTGGGAGGCAGAGGCAGGTGGATTTCTGAGTTTCGGGACAGCCAGAGCTAGACAGTGAGACCCTGTTTGGGGGAACGAGGAAGGTAGTTTCTTACTGTTAGTTAAGGGAGGAGTTGCATCAACATTGCAGAAGAGCAGCCCTGTAGGTAAAGGGAGCAGCCTGAAGCTTTGGGGAAATGACCTAGTTGGCCATGTTCCCAGCATGCAAACCAGATGAGCAAAGAAGCAGTTGCTGGGATGGAAAGGGCTGTGTAGCCCATCTTGGAGGAGGGCAGAAGGAGCTAGTAGGGGCTGTGGGGATGGAGCAGAGAAGGATGTGTGAGCGTCCGGAGGCAGGATGTGACCGTACAAGGTGGGTGACTGCTTAAACATCTGTGCCAGCCTGACTCTGGACAGTACATGAGCAGACTGCCAATCAGACAGCTCGGCTAGCCCCTGGGGCACTTCCTTGACTGCCAGACGTGTGCACTTGTATGTAGATGGTTCACCCAAGTGAATGGTATTGGTAGGTCACTGACTTTTAATGTTTGTGAATTTCATTTCTATTGCAACAGTTTGTGTTTTATCAGATTGTGTGTTTGTGTTTTCTTGAACTTTTACTCTTTCATTCAGGCCAGCTTTTAAACTCCCACAAGATGGGGGAGAATTTTCAATTGCCTTTTGATTGAAATAATACTGAATTTATAGAATTCCGTAACAGTCCTTTGTATATTTTGTAACATTTGTATGTTATGTAAAGCAAACAGTGTTTTGGTTTCCAGTATCCTTGTTAAATCCTACTAAGTCTGAGCAGTTTGTTGAATCTCTAATATTTCTCATATGAATGTTTCTTGCTTTTTCTGTTTCTCTCAGTAAACAATGTGATGTGATCTTAAAGCTGTAGCTGTGATAACAAGGATTCTGGTGTAGTGCTGACGCGGCAAGGACTGTTTCCCACATTCCATGATTAAATACATTCTTACTTTTTGTAGGCTTTTAGTATCTCCTACTATTCCATGTTTGCTGTATTGTGCTTTTGTTTTCTAAAGAAGCTGGATTTTACTATATTCTGCGGTTTTCCAAATCAGAGTTTTCAGTGCAAATCTTTCTTTAATGTTTTCTCTAGGTTGACCTACCAAAGATTTCTAGACAAAATAAAACAGGGGAAATGTGCTAGACTCAAGGATGATGGATCCGTGTTCAGTTGGAGTCCAGCTTCGTACCACTCATGACTGCCATAAAACCTTTTACACTCGGCACACAGGTTTTAAGACTTTACAAGAATTGTCATCCAATGACATGCTTTTGCTTCAGCTTAGGACTGGAATGACGCTTTCTGGGAATAATACAATTTGTTTCCATCATGTAAAAATTTATATTGACAGATTTGAGGATTTGCAGAAGTCATGCTGTGACCCATTTAACATACACAAAAAGCTAGCCAAAAAGAATCTGCATGTAATCGACTTAGATGATGCCACTTTTCTGAGTGCAAAGTTTGGAAGACAGCTTGTACCTGGTTGGAAGCTTTGCCCAAAATGTACCCAGATCATCAATGGAAGTGTGGATGTTGATCCAGATGACCGCCAGAGACGGAAGCCTGAGTCAGATGTATGTATAGATGACATTGTGCTTTCTATAGTGTGGGACTTTAGCTATACAGAGTAAGGAGTTATCTTTACATTTTTATCACATTCATTAGCACATAGCAGATTTAAAGTTGAGGCAAAATAAAATGATGTTGTGAAATGTTTCCGTGCACTCAAGGTCAAGAATGAGCAGAAGCAAGGGCTTAGAAGAAAGAACATAATGTACCCAACTCCAGTGCTACAACTTCTATTCTTAGACCTTAGGAAGGAGAGTTTAGGCCTTTAGCACATTGGCAAAGGCTAACTTAAGGAACTTGGATCCTTTTCTGATGTGGAAGTAGCTAAATGGTATATCACCTACTGGAGACTACACACCAGGAAGGATGTTTCTTTTACTACAGGACTAAAGCAGTGCTTTAAAAAAGAATCAAAGTAGCAGCTTGTCATTGATTTTTATTTTGGTTTTGAGGTGGGGGTTTACTGTGTAGCAAATGGGCCAGGAACTCTAGCTAGTCAAGACCGGACTCATTCTCATGACAGTGACTGCCCATCAGCCTCCCAGGAGCTAGAATTCCCAAGTATGAGTCTCAGTGCCCAGGAGTCACTGAGTGTAACTTCTATTGTTTTGTTTCCCCTTTGAAACTATTCTTGTTTGAGATTTTTAAACATTTGTGACTTTTCATAATGCTTTTGCCTCCAAATTCTGAATATAGTGAAGGTTAAATTTAGGGCTCCCTGTGCTCAAAGAACATGGCTTTACACTGTGAAGTATGAAATGCTTGATACCGCTTCCCTGTAGACAAGCCTGTACACAGGTCATTTAACTATCAAAAGGATTGAGAGTCACTGTCTCACTTGACAGAGCACTTGACAGAGTTTCTCCCTTTAAGCATTGTGTAATTCTTGCTGCCAGCACATTTTCTGTTTTCCTTTTTGTTGTGTTAATGAGCGAAATTAAAATTTTAAGTTGTGTGTACCATGTTCCTCTCAGGCTTATCTCTAGGACCCAGCATTATGTGAAGCTCGTCATAGATACCTGAGGTTTCTAGCTCTCCACATCCTCATTGTTCTTACATGACTACTTTCCTTATCACCTAATCTTGACTTTGGGTGTAGAAAAACATTTTGAAAGACTTAGTCTTACCTCCACAAATAACAGACTTAAACCCTTATGAACCACAATTTTGTTTGTCAGAGCCAATATATTATATATGTAATATATATAATATAATGTATAAAGTATGTAATATATAAATATATAAGTACATATATAAAGTATATTATATATATATTATATCAGAACATGGAGCCACATTACTTCTCATAAAGTTAGACCTTCTGAAGGACTGTCAATTGTGTGGAACCTTGCTTCTGTGCTGTCATTTCGTATGATAGTTTTGCTGCTTTCTCTACTGTGGTGGCAGCCATTTCTGTCCTCAATGTGCCAGGCTCCTGCACCTGATATCCAAGAGACTAACGAAAAAAGTACAGATGTTTGAATATAGACTAAAAGAGTGTGGGTTTTCCTACATTCCTCTCTGTGCCCCAAATTGCCTTCTAGATTAGGGGAGGGGTTGGTACCGTGGGCTAATGCTAAGAAAAGTCCTGTTGTTGGATGTTAAGGTTTCAATTTATAGTTTTCTTACTTTCCTTCAGGGAAGAACTGCTAAAGCTCTGAGGTCACTACAGTTTACAAACCCAGGAAAGCAAACTGAATTTGCTCCAGAAACTGGCAAAAGGGAGAAAAGGAAGCTAACCAAAAATTCCAGCGGTGGTTCTGACAGGTAGGCTGCTGGTTCTGAAGCTGTAGGTTATTTGTTTTACTGGTTCACGTCTGCATAATCCCCTTTTTTTCCCCCTATGTTCTTAACTTTCAATTTTCTGAACTGCTATCTTAAATTACATTCCAAATTAGTCTGAAAGGCTTAACTGTTACTCATAGACAAGTAAAGCATCCACTGGAACACTAGAAGCTTCTTTCTGAGAAGGTAGCATGAAGTAAAAATGTTTTGGAATAAGAGTTAAAATGGGGGCTGGAGAGATGGCTTAGCCATTAAGAGAACTGGCTACTCTTCCAGAGATCCTGAGTTCAATTCTCAGCAACTGCATGGTGGCTCACAATCATCTATAATATGATTGATGCCTTCTTCTGGCATGCGTGCATTCGTACATACATATATTAAATAACTCTTTAAAAAGAAAAAAACTTAACTTGGGCATGGTGGCACATGTCTGTAATCCCAGCACTGTGGGAGGCAGAGACAGGTGGATCCGTGGGAGTTCGAGGCCAGCCTGGTCTACAAAGCGAGTCCAGGACAGCCAAGGCTACACAGAGAAGCCCTGTCTCGAAACAACAACAAAGTTAAAATGGTTGAAGAAACACCTTAGGATTGGCCAAGATACTGTTTGCAAAATTTGATATTGATGTTCTCTTCCTAGTATATCTAATTTCTGAATGTCAGCTGACTGAGAAGCCATTGCACTTAAGAGAACCCAAGAGTACTTTCTATTATGCAGGTCCAAATTAGACACACAGCTTTAGTACAGTCAACAGAAAAAAGAACTCAGTCATTTAAAATATGTCCTTACATTGAGTGTCTAAAAGATTTTGACAAATTTATTATAACAGGTTGAACTGTTTTCTTACTGAATCAACATTTTTACCTTTATTCCATCTATTAAGTTTTCCATTGAGTGATTTGAAATATTTTCAGAACAGATTTACCAGAAGTCATTAAGAAACAAGAAACAGATTGACTAGAGTGTAAGACCTCTAGAGGGTATGTCCTGAGTTTGCCCGCAGTGTCAGTTGCTAACTAATGGAACACATCACTTCCAGCTACTCATTCCTCTGTTAGTGTAAAGCTGTTTGCAGGGACATTTCTTTATTCTTTTAAGATCTATTATTTGTTTGCACATCTGAATCTGTACGTGTGCGGATGCTTATACATGGCTGGGGGTCAGGGGAAAACTGAGTGTTTGTGTTGGGATCAGGGATCCCTCAGTCATCAGGCTTGTTCCAAGCATGGCAGCCATCTGAGCCACCTCTCCAGCTGAAGTTAGCTTCTATGTGGACTTGAGCAGCCATTTTTGGGTCTTCTCTAACTTTCAGCACTTAGAGTTGGGCCACCTCCTATCTGGAATTCTTCTGCAGGGTATAAACTAGGCCCTGACCCTGGTAAATGATGTGCCACTTAAGCAGAGCTTCATCTCTACATAAAACTTTATTTTTTAATTGATGTTTTTATTTTTTCACTTTACATCCCAGTTGCAGACCCCTCCCCCCTCTCCTTGTCCCACCCTCCCACCGTCTTCATAAAAATATTTTATCTCCATTTTTTATTTTATTTTCAACTAAGTATTCAAAAATACTATGTATAATCACTGTTTTAATCTACAGACAGATGATTCCAGCTAACAGTAAAGTGTACGACAGCCAGGGCCTGCTGATTTTCAGTGGCATGGACCTCTGCGACTGCCTGGATGAGGACTGCCTGGGATGCTTCTACGCCTGTCCCACCTGTGGGTCTACCAAATGTGGGGTTGAATGCCGCTGCGACCGCAAGTGGCTGTACGAGCAGATAGAAATTGAAGGAGGAGAGATAATCCATAATAAACATGCTGGGTAATTGATAGTATCAAACTCTGGGGTCTTTAAAACTCCTCTCTCTCTCTTTCTAAAATTCTATTGCTTTGAGGGGCAGTTATAGCCTAGTTGTTGAAAACTAACCCCAGAACACCTCAGGATGAAGTTGCTTGCATTTGGGGTGCATTACAGTTTTTTATTTGATGTAAATTTAGATGGCTTGTTTTTTACTTTAAGCCTGTGGGGCCAGTCCAACAAGTGTAGGTAGTTTGCAGTTTTTACGGTTCCCATATTCACAAATTTCAGTTGAATCTTGCTCATCTAATAGCAGCCTAGTGGAGATTGGAGTTTACCTCAGTGCATCGTTAGCTGCTCAGAGTTTGAACTCTCCAGTGTGGAAGGAAGGGTGTGCTCAGTTCTAAGGATATGCTTAGCAGCTGTGCTCTATCTGCTCTGCGCCAATCATGAGCTGCTTCTACTTTCTGCCAGTGGTTGCTCTCTGTACACCTGTTATTTAATTTACTTACAGCAAAGCATATGGTCTGTTATCTCCCTGTCACCCATATGATATTTTACAAAAGTGATCACCCAAATAATTGACCAGCAAAGATGAAAATGCAGCAAGGAAATGAGCAGTGGCAGTTCTGGAAGTGAAATTTGGATCAGTCGTAAATGGAACGATAGATGTCATCGCTGGTCGTGGGAGTGTTGATGCCATTGCTGTTCTGGAGACTCATGTGCATCACGGGAACCGGTGATGGAGACTCAACCACATTGCTGAGAAATGTGGCTGCGATGATCAGGACTGTCCTGAGAGAAGCATGGGAAACACTTCACATTAAAAAAGCTATTCATTGTAAATAACTATTTCACAGCATTGAAATGGTCAGAAAGATTTCTGTTTAATATCTTATTAACAGGTAAAACACTGTTGAGACTACTTTTGGGCAATGAAATAAAATTCTCAATACATAAACTTTAATTTTCTTGTTCATTTATAGCTACGAGTTTTTAATGTCCTCTTTCCCTTGATTATTAGCATTTCTTTGGTGCCTGGCCCCATACTACTGTGCAAAAGGCCTGGTCCTCAGCTTGGGAGCAGGGCCTGTGATGCACAACATTGATCTCCATGCCACAGAGTAGGTGGATATTAAACTTTTGAAAATAACCTAGATACCTAAGTGCTAAGATGCAGTTGTTCTTCTAGCCAGAGATGAACACATGCCCGTTAGGCTATCAGCTTTTTGTTTTTCAATCTATGCATTCTTGGTAAAAATTTGTTCCTGAAGAAAAATTCATTCCTCTCTTTACATATAAAACGTGTTTGTACACTGCATAAATGATTGCAAATTTGTCTTAGTCACTGTTGTATTGCTGTGAAGAGACACCATGACCAAGGCAACTCTTAACAAAAAAAGAAAGCATTTAAGTGCTTACAGTTTCAGAGGCTTAGTCCATCCTCATGGCAGGGACCGTGGCTGATGCAAACAGATGCTGGAGCAGTGTCTGAGACCTTTACATCCTGATGACAGGCAAAGAGAGACTGGACCTGGCATGGGCTTTTGAGACCTCCAAAGCTCACCAGCAGTGACACTTCTCCAACAAGGCCATACTTCCTAATTGTTATTAAACAGTGTCGCTCACTCCCTGGTGACTAAGCATCCAAATGTGTGAGCCTATGGGGCCCTTCTAACTTGAATCACCACAGCATTATTTAGGTGCTGTTAAAACTGTGTGTAAATATGAGGACTGAGACTTCTGAAAATATTCTTGAAGCTAGTGATGAAAAAAAAAATGAACCTTGAACATGTGGAGCAGAAGTAAATTTTCTGGACATTGATTAAACCTTGGTGAGAAATCTCAATGGGTGTTTGTGGGGCAAGGGATGTGTTTCCAGCACTTCCTACTTAATAAAGCTTTTTGAAGGCCCTGACACTTAGGGGTTAGCCATCAAGCCAAGGTTCTCCTGTCCCTGAATCCATTGTCTCCATCGAACTGTTAGCAGCTTAAAATATTTTATAGTGTTGATGCTAAATGTATATAGCCAGTTTGAGTTGACCATTAGAATACCGTTTTTGTTCACTTTGTTATCTCTACACTCGCCAGCTTTTCTGTGATAAAATGCCATTTTCAACCTGGAATTAAGGGTACTTTCAGTTAGGATTTGTCTTTGGCCCAAGTGTCAGAAGCCCAGTGAGCTGACCAATTCTTGGATCTGGATATCAAGTGGTATCAAAAGAGGTCTTAACCATACTTAACCACAATTAACAGAATTGTTTACCATTTCTGATCTAAGAAAATATTTTGCAGGGACATAGGTAGCTTCACGTTTTATCTGAATTCTTACAATCATTTGGTTTTAGTCATTTTTTTTTTTTTATTGTTTGTATTTTCTCTTAAGTGTGAGTTAGGACTGTACATTGCTTAGGCTCATCAGAGAAAATTTGTTGTGTGCTTTTGTTTCCTGTTTTCCTTGCAGCAGGGCTTTGCTGTGTAGCCTGAGCCGGACCTGGAACTCTGCAGCCTTCTTACCACAGCTTTCTTTGTGCTGGGGTGACATTCATGTGTCACCACACTGCTAAAATTAAAGCTTTAGGCATTTATTTTTGCTTACAATGGAAGTATATTTCTAATGGAGAAAAGACTTTATAACTTTCTATAAAAAATGGATATATTTGAGCATTCCTTAGGACAGATCTGTTCTTTTTGTAAAGGCAGTCATAGCTTTTTCCAGGGAGGAAGTTCTTGAGCAGCTTTGCTGTTTGTTCTTAGAGTCCATCCGGGAACCAAACAGCAATCATATTGCACAAAAGTATATCTGATCTTGAGTAAACTAATAAAGACTATTTTAGAAATAAACAGTGCAGGCTTGGTGTTTATTTGTGTGTGTGCACACAAATGCATGTGTGCAGGTCTCCGTGCATTCATGGGCACTTGCAGTGTGCATGCATGTGGTTGGGGAAGCCCAAGGTTGACTTGGATCTCTCTTTAATTGCTTTTTGTTTTATTTGCTGAGGTTGAGTGACTCCCTCGCCCTGGAGCTTGCACATTGGAATATTCTAGCTAGCCAGCTTGCATGGGGGTGACCAAGTGAGCCACCACACCCACAAGCTTGTAGTGGGTGCTGGGGATGCAGACCCATATTCACTTGAGCAAGGAGTGTTCTACTGAACCATCTTGCCACTGAAGAATCTTGTCTGTTATTTGGTATAGGTTTTTGTTTGTTGGTTCTTTAACAAGAACATTGAGTATCTGAAAAAGTTTTATTGCCTGTAAATCTATATTCCAGTCTCTGCTCACACCCCTCTCACCTCCAAAAGGATAATTAAAGGTCTGTTGACAGTGTAGAGCAAAGGGATGTGTCCTATCCAGACTGCCCTTTCTTGTTAAACTTCCAGCTTGAATTTTGGTCGCCTTATAAAAAAGCTTACAGTGCTTACAGGAAATTCCTGTGACATCTTGGTTTTTGCTGACATCTGCTGGTATCTCTATGAAAATAAACACAGACCCCACAGCTTATGAACCTGGGAGACAACCCTTTAAATCTGTAAGTTGATTGTAGTAGGTATTGTTGGGGTGATGGAAAACAAACTAGTCTTTAGAAATTAAACGAATGTGTACAATGCCATGGCATGGAGGTCACAGGACACCTGGGTCCAGTTCTCTCCCTCCACCTTTACATGGATCCTGGGCATCTAACCTCCTTCACCAGGCTTGTGCAGATGAGCCATCCTCTGCTCCTTTGTTTTTTCTGATTGGTGTTGCCAGAATCTTTCTGGAATAAGCACTCCCACACCGATGAGGGGAGGTGAGTAGGTGTTGCCAGTGGGTGGTTAGCCAGGGTTGCGCCCGAAAGGCTTTGGTATTGGGTCCAGTGTGCATTGCTCTAACACTACAGGTGGGGTGGGCAAGCAAGAGTGGACAGAAACATAAGTTGCAGTCAGCTGGTTAAGGGCAACAGCCCATTGTTTCAGCTTTTTCTCCAGGTCATTCTGTTTTAGGGAGCAAGTGAAGTCATGCTTGTTAAATAGGCAGTAGAAACGATGCTATACATCAATAAATCAACATCTAATAATTGGTCTTTGCTGCCTTATTCTACCTCAGTAAGAGTTACTAACATTTATGTTGGGACATCTAGTTAATATCTAGTTAATGTGTTATATAATCCCGTCTAGATTATATAAAACATATAACCCACTTGGATCTGTTTCTCTAACAGCTGATACAGTAACCCAATTAACTTCTATACCAAAATAGTTCCCAGAAAGACCCTGGCTTTACATCTAAGTAAAAATAAATTCTTCACTAAATTTCTTTTATACAGTTATGTAGGAAGCACAGCCTAGAGTAAGCTCTAGAGGAACCAGAATTGTTAAGCTCACAGGCCTGCTTTCTTCAATGGAAGGAAGAATGATCCTAGTCACTTGGAAGCTGCAGTAGAGGTGGTCACACAGCCTGTGATCCTTAGCTATTCTGTTAGAAGCCAGACTCCACCTGAGCTCCCCCAAATCCTGAGAATTATCTGGGCCCCAATCCTGGGCTTTGTCTCTCAGTGAACAAAGAGGTCCATGTACTTAGCATCCTCCATCAATAGCATCCTTATGCTTTTTACAAAGTCGTCTTCTCTAGGTCCCAGCACAGTTTCCCAGCCAGCAGAGCTCATTCTTATGGTAAAGGTCTCGGGTTCTTTGCTCTAGTGGGGTACTTTGCAAGGGGATTTCCATGTAGCCATATCCGAAGCTTTGTTAGGAGAAATGTCACATGGAGACTTTCCCCAAAGTTACTGTGTTTAAATTTGTAAGAACACTAAACCATGGGATCATACAGTTCAGAACAGTGGTTTTCAGTCTGCCTAATGCTGTGACCCTTTAATACAGTCCCTTATGTTGTGGTGACCCCCCCCCCACCATAAGATTATTTTTGTTGCTATTTCGTAACTAATTTTGTTACTGGGATGAATCGTAATGTATCTGCTGTGCAACTCCAGGAGGTCAAGTTGAGAACCGCTGCTCTACAAGTTTTAGTCCAGTCCGACTAGGGCCGGCTGTGCCGTGTTTTCATTCCCTTCAAGTTTATCTCTGCAGACTGTGATATCTGTCTGAACACCCCCACACACCCCAACACGACTGTATCTGGCTTTATGAAATGGAGACAATTCTCTTATATTAAGAACGGGTTGCTAGGCAGGAAGTCAGGGATCAGGGATTTCAGCCTAGTCCCCATATCACACCATCTTTATTTTGCATACAATGGGAAAACCTCCCTGGTCAAAAGAAGAAAGGCTTGACCCACATGCCCTCCTTTAAAAAAAAAAAAATCATTGCCAGCTACTAAAAAACAAAACAAAAAACACTCGTGAGACTGTGCAATTTCTGAAAATGCCCACCAGATGGCGCTGGAGCAGTGGCTCCGTGCATAAGAACCCTGGTGATTCTTCCAGAGGACCAGGGCTAGGTTTCCATCACCCACATGACGACTCACAGAAGTGGGTATCAGATCTTTAGGAAGTGGAGTTACAAGTTAGTTTGAGCCGCCATGTGGGTGTGGAAACCCTGGTTCTCTGAAAGAAAAACAAGTGCTCTTAACTGCTGAGCCACCGCTCCAGCCCCCATCTGGTGGGCTTTTTTACATGGATTCTAGGGACTAAACTCAGCTCTCTTCCGCCCCTTTTGGTTTCACTTTATTTTGAGCACATCATCTGCAGTTCAGTAGTGGTTTCCAGGCCCAGTGTCAGTTCCCGCTCCGCATTTTAGCACTCTTCTCGGCCTGAGAAGCCATGGTTCCACTCTGAGCCCACGTGGTTCAGATTGGTTCACTTTGGTGATTCTGGGATGCTTTGCAAGGCCTGGCCTTGGAGGATGTATCACCAAACACAACGGAAGCCATCGTGAATGTGCTAAAGGTGAGCACGTGACCACTCAGAGCCAATTAATTGTCCGTCTTCTGGCTGTGAAGAGAATAAGACAGATGCTTTACCAATGA